ATATAATACCATTGTTCCCTCTTCGCAATAATGATTAGACCAACACATACACTAACATATAAAAAAAACCCATGATATATTTCGATTATCATCATCATCCTCTGTTTACAACAATGACAAAGACACTGGAGATTGACATAAGATCTGCAGAAGGTCTCAAGGTAAACCGGAGACTTATAAAGAGAAAGACTTTCGCCGTCGTAAAGATCGGTGATAAATCTCGAATTTCTAATCTCGACGAATCTGGAGAAAGCAACCCAACATGGAACCACAAATCGGAGATAACGATCGATAGTTGTAGTAATAGTGGTAAACAGTTTATCTTCATTGAGGTATTTTATCGAACAGGTTCTGGGCGTAATAAGAAAATCGGAGAAGCTAAAATCCCGGCGACGGATTTCATGGGTAGATATTCACCGGAAGGTCATTTGAATATCTTGAGCTATAGATTAAGAGATGAGTATGGAGACAAGTGTGGAATCGTTAACGTTTCGATTATGGTTAAACCCGGTTCAACGGAGGCGATTAAAGATTACGGTGCGTGTTCGTCGCAAGTGAGAACAGAGTCGCCGTCGATTGATGGGTATGGTGGTCGGATTGTTACAGGAGTTCCGGTTTATTGTGTGATTCAACGACAATCTTGAAATTTTGGTCTTTTTTTGGGTTAGTGTTTTGGTTGCACATATGATTCTTTGTGACTGGTCGGTCCAAGGATTTTCCGAATTTGGAATTGAGGAACAAAGATGTGTAATTGATTTTTGTTTTGTAATACTCAAAAATTGGTTTTCAAAATTGGAAGTCAAATTTGTTGGATGATTATCTACTTGTTCTATATGTTAATAATGTTCGTCGTGCGTGATGTTTGAAGATAGAAATAAAATAATAACTCTTGCAATAAAATAGTATTTGTTTTGTATTTCATCATTGCAACTTACTGCAATGTCACTTGCTACTTGTTCAGTGGTTTTGCGGCGGATATATAATTTAAAATTTGAATAATAATTAAAAAAAGAAAAAACTCTTGATCGAGTATAACTAGTGGTAAAATATTTTATAATTTTTTTAAGCATTAGAATGTTTCACCATTTCCATGCAAGTGT